AGCTTGGCTCTGGTTAGAGTCTGAGTCAATGTAACTTGATGTTCTTATTAATACAAACAAGCTTTTCGCCAAAAAAAAAACCTCTAGAACTTTCAGTTTTAAATAATAAATTATTTATTTAAGTAAAATTATAGCATTATGATTTAGTAGGTGAACCCGTGGGACTGTGGGAGCATCGTTTCTTTAACAACCCTTCAAAATAATTAAATTAAAAAACCCCACTTAATATGAGAGGATAGAGCTACTTTACCACACCAAAGATAGACAATTTTATCTCTGCTCCCCCACAAAACCTATAGCCTCAAATTCATGAATCGCCTTCCACCCCAAAGCATTACTCTACCTCTACCTTCGCCTTCAAGCTGAAAATATCGCACTACCTTAGATTCCACTGACTCCCACCCTAAAACCTGACCCATCTCTGCCTACACCTTCCAACTTCCGCTATCGCACCTCCATATATCCATTTGACTCCCACTCTCCTCGGCGAAATCGAATTGTCTAACTCTCCACTACTTCTTTTGTCTTCTACTAGAGGAACCGACAAAGTCTGATGATGGAGATATAGAGGCCGTAAAAAGAGGGATCTGAACCCTCCAAACCTGAGCCAACGTTTTCAGAAAGCAGGGCCGAGATGTTATCCGACCTTGATGTCTCCTTCGCTCCGGTGATGATCCGTCAATGATGCAGACTATAGTCGATTGCTTGGAGTAAATACTTGCTCATTCGGAAAGACACCAACTCAGTGGCACGCTTAGCTTCCCGCTTCACCTCGCCTAGGCTACGCCTTGACCGCTTCCCCGCTACTTTCAGAGCTCTTCCATGTAATTAAGCGCGCCTAACGCCTTCTCCCATGCTTAAGGGCAAAGCACAGCATTGTCCCACCGCTGCGTGATTAATTGATCCTAGGCATGCGCTTAGCTAGGGGCGCCTTTTTGAACACTGCTTGGAAGAGAAATCATCATGTGAGGAATGAAGATATGCTCCAAGCTGGAAACTGGGACTCCGAGGGTGAGAGATCGAGCTCCAATGTCCTTAGATCACTCAAATCCACTCCTAAGGTTGTTCTGTGTCACTTTCTCTCTCCAGGGTTCTTCCTCTCTCTTTAGAACTTGAAAAACCGGAATAATGAACAAGAATCCCGAGTCTGCATCTTAGAATACTCGACGCTGAAATTCATGGTCAGAATCCACGGTCGTGGAATTGGAATTCAGACCGTGGATTTCCAAAATGGCGCACAACTATAAGTGGCACACAAACAAATCCACAGTTGGCCACCTTAAATCCCCAGTTGTGGAATTGAGGCACCAGACCGGGGATTACCCCTGGAAAAAAACCTCGGTCCAATCGTTGAACCAACAACCGTGGAATTGAGGCAATAGACCATGGATTCTACTACTTTGGCCTCCGGTTCCTGTCTTCTCTCCTGCTGCACCAGAATTGCTCCTCAACCTCCATTTACGTGGTAGGACCTGAAACATCCCCAACAACCATTACCTAGCGTAAAATTGGCCAAAAAGAAATCAAAGGCTAAACCAAACGGTCGAGAAATGTCGGAAAAATCATGTGTAAATACAGTGTTATCACATTTACCCCGTCTCAGACAATCCTTTGGTGGGCCCAGTCAAAATTGTACCAAGAAGTGGGACATGACCATGAAGTCTAACAAGAGTGGAGATCCCATCCCTACTCGAAGAATCATCGGGTGGTGAGCCTCCATTACTACAGCTTACAGATGTGCACTCAATTATATGAATTTCTTTGTTACAATCCACCCATAAAAACACAGATACAATAATATTCCAAATGCAATAAACTTATAAAGGGCAATAAACATACAAAGATGAAAATGAAACAATCAATATATATATGGTGGGTGTCTGCTGTGCACTCACTTTTTTTGGTGCATTCAATGCACTCGCCTCGTAAGCGTCATTTTAAACATGTGATTCATGTCAAAATGTTTTCAATCATCACTAATTATGTGATGAACAATAAAGCACATGAATTCTCAAAAAACCATTCAATATTTACTTTAATTTGAAGGTTTTAGAGCTTAGAGATTTAGGGTTAGGGTTTCAATTTGGGGTATAAGGATAGAATTCAAGATTGGAGATCTAGGACTTAGGGTAATCCATTAATTAGTTGTGATCCTATGTTATATCATCATATTACACTAATTTTACAAATTAAAATTCAACATTCGTCACCTTATGACTAGTTTTAGAGTTGGGTGCATTGAACGCACTCATTTTTGTGAGTGCACCAAAGTAGCCACCTATATATATATATATGGAGACGACTCGTATGCTCCAAATGATATGGCCGTTAGATGTACTTTGATGATCTTCGACCAATCTCAATGGTCAATTGTTGTTTTTTTTAATTGTCCTTCGAGTTTGAGTTTAGAGAATCAAGGCCTAGGGTTTATCCAATAGAGGTTAAGGTATAGTATCATGTCTCAAAATTGGTTTAATTCATGGTCTATATATATATATCTTACTAGGAGTAGTTGAAGCACACTACGCTCCGGGAGAATATATGAGTCTAACTCATATATATACTAAAGAATCAACTATTACATGATCTACGGAAACACTAGGGTTCGCCAACCTAACAAATAACGAACTAGCCGCTCATGGGGACAAAATCTAGGAGATACATTATTTGAAAAGAAAAATACATAGCTTCTGTGAAATGGTGGCCTAACAAGGGCAATGGCCCCTAAGGTGCCATTTTGGCTGCCAATTTGCCCTCAACCTTCTAATCACTTATGGTTTGTGATTAGTTGCTCTAGAGGCAAAGTAACCCCTATAAAAGACTTGTCTTCAAATGCTTGTCGAGGGGGTCTATTTATAAGCCATTACATAAGGTTTTCTGAGCGATCTTCTAGGTACAAAACATAGTGTTATGAGATGCGACTATATAAAATCTCTCACCGTACAATTTAATGAAGGAAATAACATTCTTGAACACCACTTGTATGGCCGACATGATCAATTTATGATCTCCAAGCAAAATGACGTTGTTTTAGTGAGTTTCATTAATAAAAAATTAATATATAATTTATTTTATGATTTGAAAAATTAAATGTTGATGTTATTTGTTGGATTTAAGTATAAATGTTTAAGCATTGACATTAAATATTATATTTAAATATTATAAATATTTATAATTTTATTTAAATATCACTCTCAATTGTAACTAAATTGACTTAAATATGTTTTTATATATGATCAAATTCATTTATTGTTAATAGGTTTTCACATTTCTACATATTTTGATAAACCGGAATGAATTGACACACGCAGATTGTACCGCCAATTGAACCATTCTACTTGCCAAATCAACACAACAATAAAAACCGATTTGACAACCTTGCATCTAGTATAAAACTAACAAATAATTTTAAAATACCCTAAAACTACTTATTTTTAAAATAACATAAACTAACTAGGGCTGGAAGTTTGGTACTGGTATTTGGGATATACAAAATACCGTATCGAATTTATCACTATTTGGTGTTACCGAATATCGGTTTATTTTTTAGGGATTGGGATTGAGATTCATTTTGGAATGCTATTCCGTATTTGGGACTGGGATCGGAATATACCGAAATACTGAGAAATACTCAAAATTAAAAATTAATGAAATATAGCACACAATCTTTGTTCATTCCTCACTCTTTCACAACTCAGAATCCTCTATCCAACTCAATTTTCACTTTCCAATTTAAGTCACTCTTGTCTCTCGCCCAATCTCTTGTTATTTTCATAACATCAATAGGCAAACACTAGTATTATTCATCTCTCAGCCTCCAATTTGAATTTGAGATGTCACATCTCCTCCATTCTCCTTATCCATATCCTAGCACTAGGCAAACTCAAGACTCTTTGCTCTAAATTAAATAATCACATCTAATTTATATATTTAATTATTAATTATAAAGGTAATTAATTTCGTATTCGATAATACCAATTGGGATAACAAAGTACCGATTGGAATACCGAAATATTTAGAGATTGAGATTGGGATACCAAAATTATTTAGAGATTGAAATTGGGATTGATTTTAGAGTATAATTCAACATTCCAAATTTCGATATTTGATACTGGAATATCGATATCGTAACAATTTCTACCTTTAAAACTAACACACAATTCAGGCGTACTTTTCATTTTTCTTCTCTATCAATGCCAAATAAAATAAAAACACATTCATTTTTCTTCTCTATCAATGCCAAATAAAATAAAAACACATTGGAAGAGGAACACAACACAAGGCGAAAGCAACCTACCCCCAATTATTGGCGTATAATGTTGGGGAAGAGGATTTGTTGTTGAGAAAAATCAGAATGCAATCCAACGTGATTTGCTTCTGTTTATTGAGTTCTGTTTTATACAGTTTTACAGGAGATACAGTTGAGAGAATGATGGGTAGTGGAGAAAGTGCAGGAGAAGTGGAGAGGTTACAGGGAGAGAGAGGGCCGAGTAAAAAGGCACAAAAATAAAAAGAATGGTTATTCTTTTTCTTTAATACGCCCCCGCAAGATGGAGGAGGTGTCATCGACTCCAATCTTGGACCGAAGAAGCAGGAACCGAGAGGCGGGTAAAGGCTTGGTCAGCATGTCGGCCAGTTGCTGCGCAGTCGGTATATATCGGACACTGAGACGGTCAGACTAAACAAGTTGTCAAACAAAATGATAGTCAAGAGCCAAATGCTTCATGCGAGAGTGGAAAACCGGATTGGCACTGAAACAAGTGGCACCAAGATTATCTGAGATGACAGTGGGAGACTTGGTGAGGGGTTGATGAAGCTCTTGTAAGAGATTGCGAACCCATTTTAGCTCAGCAGTCGCATGGGCGATGGCACGATATTCGGCTTCTGTACTAGAGTGGGCAACCGTCCGTTGTTTCTGAGAACGCCAGGAGATGAGAGTGGAGCCCATGTATACCAGATAGGTGGAGGTGGATGTGCGATCATCAATGTTCCCGACCCAGTCAGAGTCGGCAAAGGCTGTGACGCGCATAGGAAGAGATGCGCCAGATGGCCAAGCCATAGGAGATAGTACCACAAACATAGCAATGTAGCCGTTTGAGGCATTGCCAATGATGAGAGGATGGATAGTGCATGTACTGGGAGAGCTTGTTGATGGAGAAGGCAATGTCAGGACGGGTGTAGACGAGGTACTGCAGAGCACCCAAGACTTGCTGGAACCGCGTAGCATCAGTCGGACAGGTGCCATCATGAAGGGACAAAGAGACAGAGGAGGCAAGGGGCATGGAGACAGGAGCATCCTCTAACATATGAAATCGGGCAAGAATGTCGGTCATATACTTGTGCTGAGAGAGAATATAGCCCGTCGCTGTCGGTATAACCTCTATCCCCAGAAAGTAATTTACATCACCCAGTTCTTTGAGGGAAAACTTGGGGGCAAGAGCGGGCTGGAAGGCTGTAAAAGTGGTAGCATCATTGCCGGTGAGCAATAGATCGTCAACATAGGCAAGAAAATAGAGAATAATGCCCGAATGCTGATAGACGAAGAGGGATGCATCAGATTCAGTCTTCCTGAAGCCAAACTCAATGAGAAAAGAACTGAGAGCAGTGTACCAGGCCCGAGGGGCTTGACGTAAGCCATAGATAGCACGACGAAGGAGGCAAACATGGTGTGGATGTAATGGATCGACAAAGCCTGAAGGTTGGACCATGTAGACCTCATCATCTAGAGGGCCTTGAAGGAAAGCATTGTTGACATCAAACTGCTTAATGGGCCAACTCTGAGAGAGAGCAATGGTGAAAACCGTGCGGACAGTCACAGGTTTGACAACAGGACTGTATGTATCCTGAAAATCCACCCTGGGGCGTTGATGAAAACCCTTTGAAACAAGGCGGCATTTGAAGAGATTGATGGAGCCATCACAGTGATGCTTAATCCGGTAGACCCATTTGTTGCCCAGAACGTTGAAGTGAGGTTGGCGAGGAACAAGATCCCAAGTGTGATTGCGAAGAAGAGCATTGTGCTCGTGGCGAAGAGCGGAGTCCCATTCAGCATACTGCATTGCTTCTTTGTCTGAACGAGGCTCAAGGGGTGGCGCCCGGGTTGTAAATAGAGCTGGAAATAGCCGCTTGGGCTTGTGAATAGTAGACTGGGCCCGAGTTCTCATCTGATGGGAGCGCTAGATAGGTGGCGGAGCAGTGGGCCGCTGGGCAGTGGGCTCGGGTGAGGCGGGAGCCTGGAACTGGGCCGGCCTATTATGAGCAGTAGTGGCTAGAGCGTCCAGAGAAGAGGGCGGGGAGCTGTGGGCTGGCGATGGGCCAGAGGAAGAGGAGGGCGGGGGCCCAGAGCAGGAGGACGGGCCAGGCAGGGAGCTGGGGGCTGGCAATGGGCCAGAGGAAGAGGAGGGCGGGGGCCCAGGGCAGGAGGACGGGCCAGTTGGCTGGGGCGGCCCAGATGGTGATGTTGTTGCAAAGGGCCTGCGCCAGGGGAGGCCCGTACCGGAGGAGCAGACGGGGATGCCACATGAAATGGAATGGTAGTAATGGTGGGTCCTGTGTCTATGATCCATGGGGCCATGAGGGAAGACGCTGCAGGAGGGTTAGACAAATAGCAAGGAAACGAATTTTCAACAAAGTGAACATGACGGGATAGGAAAACACGATGTGAGTGAGGATCGAAACATTTGTACGCACTCCGCTGAGGATAGTAACCAAGGAACAAGCATGGACGAGAGCGAGGATCAAGTTTGTGGGAAGAGTATGGTCGTAGCTAGGGATAGCACAGACAGCCAAATATGCGAAGTTTATGATAATTTGGCACAATGTTAAAGAGAACAGTATAAGGGATTTGTCCACGTAAAGCAGAGGAAGGCAAACGATTGATTAAGTAAACGACAGTAGAGAAAGCATAAGACCAAAAGATGGTAGGTAAATGAGCATGATGCAGGAGACTGATACCAGTTTCAACGATATGACGGTGTTTTCGTTCGGCCAGTCCGTTATGCTCAGGCGTATGGGGAGGGGTAAGGAGATGACTGATCCCATGAGCAAGAAGCGTGGAACTTAACTTCTGGAATTCTCCTCCACCATCGGAATAAAGACGACGAATGGTGGTGGAAAAATAATTTTCAACCATCGTACGAAAGGCAAGAAACACATCAAGAACATCAGACTTACGTTTTAATGGATAATACCATGTATAGCGGGAAAAATGATCAACGATAATCAAGTAATAACGAAAATCATCAATGGAGGTCACTAGAGCAGGCCCCCAAACATCTGTATACAATAAATCAAATGGTCTAGTGCTTGATAAAGAGGAGACACCAAAAGGGAGTTTGTGACTTATTTGAAATACATGAATCGCAATGACTACTGACAGAAGAGGAAGCTACTGGCAAGGAATGTGTGCGAAGAAGACTGGATAGAGAATGGGAGGAAGGGTGACCGAAACGAGCATGCCATGAGGTAGAGGAGGTGCGGGTGGTGACAAGAGCAAGGTGGACAGTATCCATTTCATGTGGCAGCTCATAGACATCCCCATTATTTTCTCCTTTCAGCAGAGGCGCCCCCGTGCGAAGATCCTTCACAACAAAACAATCAGCAAAAAATTCCACCAAAATGGGATTAGTACGACAAAGTTTTGCTACAGAGATAAGTTTACGCTTTATCGCAGGGGCACAAAGCACATCATTTAATTGTAAAGCAGAATTCTGGAGCATGGATGACCCAATATGTGTGATTTTCAAACCTGTGCCATCGCCGACGAGAATCTCATCAGGACCATTGTAGTCCGAATAAAGAGATAAATTTCCGAGATCTGGGGTAACATGATGGGAAGCCGCAGAATCGAGCAACCACGGTGCAGATGGCGGGGCACTAGTGGTGGTATGATGTGCCTGAGTTTGTCTAGCTTGATAGGCTTGGCGTTCCTCTGGAAATAACTTGAAACACTGACGTACGGAATGACCGGGGCGTTCGCAAAATTGACATATGACAGTGGGCCGGCGCTGATTGTGACTGGTGGGCGAGGCCTGCCCAGGAGGGAAAAAAAGATGGGCCTGCGGGCTGGAGGCCCGTGGAGAATCGACTTGGGCTTGAGGGGAATAGGCCCACGAAGAGGAAGGCCCGCGAGGAGAGCCTCGCTGCTGGCGGCCGAAAGAAGGGTTGCCACCGCTGCCGCTTGAATATCTCTGCCCCTGGGAAAAGAAAGCAGTAGGAACAGGGGGTTTGATTTGTTCCTTAAGATCAGACTCATACTCGACTAGAGAGTCAATCAAATCTTCCAGAACGAGACCCGGTCCCCTAGCGCGAATCGCAGCAGCAAAGGCCCCATATTCTTCTCCCAGACCACGAAGGCAGTAGACGATCAAATCAAGATCGGAGACAGGAGCTCCAATGAGAGCAAGCTCTGCCGCCGTGCTTTTCAAATCATTCACGAACGCCAAGATATCCCGATTACCCTTGGAGGTTTTGGCCAGTTTCCCCTTTAGATGAATAATTCGGGACTGAGCACTGCTGGCGTAAAGCTTCTCCAGAATCAGCCAGGCAGCGGGTGATGTAGAAGCGCCTGAAACAAAAGAATAGATCCCTTCCGAGATCGAGCATCGCAGAGCATGAAGTATTAACTTGTCTTGGCGGAACCAAAGCTGAAAGGCTGGATTGGGTTTGGCCACGCCATTCTCTGTTATGGTGCGATCAGGTGCGATGGTGGTGCCGTCAATGTAGCTGAAGAGATCCAGACCGAGGAGCAGCGTTTCAAGCTGTGAGCGCCAAGAGGCGAAATTAGACGGAGTCAGCTTCAATGGAAGTTGAGCAGCAGGATTGAATGTCACAATGGCAGGGACAGCGGAAGAGATGGCGCTGTCGTGTACTTCGGATTCGCCAGACATGGTTTCTGGAGAGAAAGAAAAGAAAAACAGAGTGTTTCACACAGGAAAGGAGACGCAAGAGGGAGAAAGGAATTGGATCGACTAGCTGATCGTTGCTAGCTCTGACACCATGTTGGGAAAGAGGATTTGTTGTTGAGAAAAATCAGAATGCAATCCAACGTGATTTGCTTCTGTTTATTGAGTTATGTTTTATACAGTTTATACAGTTGAGAGAATGATGGGTAGTGGAGAAAATACAGGAGAAGTGGGGAGGTTACATGGAGAAAGAGGGCCGAGTAAAAAGACAAAAAATAAAAAGAATGGTTATTCTTTTTCTCTAATATATAACACCATTCGGATTTCGTTTGTCCGGAACAGCACCCGACCCCTAAGATCTTTCTATTTTCATTTTTTTTTGGTCTATTTTAGTCGTCCGTCAGACAATTTAGCGGATTTATGTCGTTAATCTAGTTTAGTTAGTGAACTCCCTTAAATTGAAACGGAAGACAGCCAAAAGAAGAAAGGAAGGTGCAGAATTCCAGTGTGAGAAAAGAATTGCCTCTCCTCTCTCAGGCTCTCACTGTCTGCATCTCTCTTTCAGTAAAGTAGTGTAGTACTACCACTTGCTACTGTCTCTCTCTCTAACCTTCTCAAAATGGAAGCTACAGCCTCCCGTCTCTGAAGTTTGGGACAGCTAAAAACCTCTCATTTTCATCTACTTTGCTCTGCTTCAAACCTCACCATACCACCAGTCTCAAGGGTAAAGTATCGTTCTTTTTTGCTCTCTCTCTCTCTCGCCTCACACATAGCATTGCGGAAACTTTTCTAGCTTTCTTTTTCCAGCGACTAAGATAGGTTTCTCCTTTTGCATCTTGCCTACTGTTTCATGTCCTTTCTGGTTCTTTTATCTTCATTCGTTCCTGCAGGGTATTTCATGAGCTTTGCCAATTTGCCTTGGTTCATTGACCATATTCCCCCCCTTGATCTATTCTCTTGTCTTCTTCAGACAACGGCTAGAGTTTCAGCAAAATCTCACTCACATGTGGGTTCTGATGATTTTCCTGTCTCGAGGATCTTATAAGTTGAACTGAGGGAAAAAAGGAGAGTTCGGGGTTTGGTGGGGTTCCTCGTTTTCTACTATGAGCAACGGAGAGAGTCTCTAGCCAAGATTCTTTAACAGTGGTTCCACCTGCTCTTTGTTGGATTACGAGAGAGAATTTGGGCCGTTATCTAACCCTCTTTGGTTGGAAAAGTGAAAGACAATGACTTTCATTGCTTGATACTGAATTGGTTTCTTTCCTTTTTGTATTTGTGCTGAGAATCTGTTGAAAACTGTTAAAAAAAAAAAATCTGCATTTTGTTCTGTGGGATGGAGTCTTGTAGCTATGCCTCTGGGGCTAAAGGAACTTTTGTCTCCAGTATAGTTTCTTCATCTTCAGATACTTTACCAAGTACCAAAAGTGCTGCCATGTGGAATTGGGATTTGAGACGAGCTACTCCATCTGGGTTTGGGAGTAGCATCTTGGTTTCAACTCCAAATCCAATCCTTGAGAGTCAAAATTTGGAGGAATTAGGTTACCATGAACTGATGGCAAAACCATTACCTTATGAACATGATGACGATGACGACGACAACGATGATGATTCAGTTAGGTATCACTTGAATCATACCAATGCTGTTGAGAGTGACAGGTACATGAATCCATTTGTGGTAGCTAACCCATATGCACTCTCATTAGAAGATGAGTCAAGTTCAAGGCTTTCTGGCTCTGTTGTGGACTCCAATAGTAGGGATTCTTCATTCATTGATTTGGAGCTTGGGAGGGTTGGGGAGTGCCAGAATTCCCGAAAAGCACTCATTGTTTCCCCATCTGAGTCGAACACTCCACCCAAAAGAGCACGATTCGGAATCAACTCCAATGCTGCTTACTGTCAAGTGTATGGCTGTAACAAAGATCTGAGCTCCTCAAAAGACTATCACAAGAGACATAAAGTCTGTGAAGTTCACTCCAAGACGGCCAAAGTCATCGTTAATGGAATTGAACAGAGGTTTTGTCAACAATGCAGCAGGTAACTACATCATGGATTTCCTTAACTAAGTTGTGAGCTACTGTCCTTATCAAGGTGAAGTAGACACAATATGGGTTTCTTATAATTACTTCTTCACTACAAATTTTTGTTTCTTTCACGCAAACTCTCTTTCTTGAATGCTGAAGTTGGTTTAACCTTGTATTACCGGTTGATCACACAAAAACAGATTGTTAGCTGAACTACCCACCTATATAATATGGAAAGTTTCATTTTTTTCGTTGCCTCATGATTTCTATTCAAACCCTAAAACCCTGTCAGAAAGTCTTTCCTTTCCTTGGCTTTGCTTTTTGGTTAATTTCTCTGTTTTATCACCAACAAAGATTTGGATTGAGAATGGCTGTGTAGTAGGTCCGTCATTTGTGCTTGTGAAGGAGTTCTCTCTTCTTCTTCTGGTTTAATACGTACTTGTTTTTGGACAAATCAGGTTTCACTTGCTGGCTGAATTTGATGATGGTAAGCGCAGCTGCCGCAAACGCCTTGCGGGTCACAATGAACGCCGGCGAAAGCCTCAAGTTGGCATTCATTCTGGAAGGACTGCCAGACTAATTCAATCCTACAATGGTAAGATGCTTACTTGTCTTGGTATATAAGGTAATTAAATAAACTTTTTCGGTAAATTGCATTACCATGATACCATCCTATGTAGTGTTAATAGATGGAGTTTGTTAAATAGAGGTAACAGCAACTCGCCACTCAGTGAAATCTGGTCAAATCTCTCGTTTCTTGATGAACTTTCCTGATTGTGCTTAGCACAATATGTTTTTCTTTGTAGTTTGTTGTCATTAGATTCCTGACTCCTGAGAGTCATTGGAACTATTCTCTCGTTTCGGCGATTATGACATGATTAAAAAAAATCGTTACACTGTTTGCTCAGCAGCTGCAGGGTTTGGGAGTGGCAGACTCCAGGAGACTGGATTGACATCTTTTATCTGCCAAGATATTCTCCCCGGAAGCCTAGTGTATCCTCAGAAATCTGAATCGAATCACTGGTCAAGAAGCGTGAAACTCGAAGAGGAGAGTGATAGTAATATGAGTGCTCTATCAGCCATTATGCCCATAACGAGCAGCCATTTGCACTCGAAATTCTCCTCTCCCCATAGCTTTGAGAAAATATTTCCTCCAATCCATAATAGTGTAGTGACTACTGCAGCTGCTGGAAGCATCTTCAGTGAGCACAGCAACTGGTATCCACATGATGTCGGAGGTTCTTCTAACTCTGGTTCATCATCATGCTCTCTGCCTCAAGATGTCTCCTTTGGTAAAAATGATGATTTCATCAACTTCGATCCAGCATCAACCATTCAAGAGTTATCGGGCGTCAAAATTGTAGACTCTGGTTGTGCTCTCTCTCTTCTGTCATCTCAATCTCAGAGTTCGTCAGGAATCCCCCCCATGGCGCATCATCATCGATCATTCCTCAACCCAAACAACAGCAGTAGCAGCAGCAGCAGCAGCAGCAGCCGTTATGATATGCAACACCAGGTTTCTTCTTCTGCAAGGCTCATAAGATTTGGCTCGCACGTTTCTGCAGGTGCACCATCAACTTCTGCGGATGTGGGTCACTTGAATCCAATGTTCCTATGTGACTTGGATGGTGACACAGATGGGATTAACCAAGAGGGGTCACATTTTATGAATCAAAAGGACCAGCGCCTTTCGTGCGAAGATGGAGGCCACACGATTGACTTGCTGCAACTGTCATCACAGCTCCACCGAGTGGAACGCGAGAAGCAGTTGAAACAAGAAGCTGATGCCTTCTGCTGTCCCCGCATCATCTAAACTGCCCGATAAATAAAAAAACGAGGTATTTCCTTTACTCACCTCGCCTATAGAATTGTAGTGTCAAAATTTTGTGTGAAGCAAGTCAGTCATCGTTCCACAACTTGCAAGTTGTATTCAAAATCTTGTGGTTAAGATTTGAAGTTGCAGAGAGGATGTCTGTTGTGCAAGCGGCACCGTCCGTTGTTCAACAATGAACATCTGCTGCTGTACTTTTTTGCAGGCGACTCATCGGTGGGAGTTTTGAGTTTTGACGGGGTACCCACCCTTTTCACAGGAAGCACTTGGCATATTGCTCAGTTGGTTTACCCCCATCTTGTTTTTTTTGTCTTCCTTGTGATTCCATTTGGGTAATGAGACCGAATAATCTGGTGGCTGGATTTCCCTTTTACCTGAATCATAATGGATTTATGTGCAAGTAACAATATGAAACATGAACTTCCACACGAAAAAAAACTTCCTTTACTGATCGATTTACCTCTTACGTATCTACCGCCCTCATTTACAGGCTAGATTCGACCATTTGTTACGGCGGCTTGTTAAATATGGGAATGGAGCGGGAGGGTGAAAACTGCATTTATTTTCCTCCTGAATTCCAATTCCATCAAACCCTTTTTCACCCTTAGCACAAGTGCACTACGAAAGTCAGTGCCAGTCACGTCCCACTGAAAAGACGTATGGGGGCACCGTCGGATTCGACAAAGATATTAGCTGAGTTTTTCTATTTTTCGTTAATGGCCGATTCTAGCAGGGCAGTTGAGGACAACCACAACCAACCAAAGGTTGCCACAATTAATGGCGATTTAAACTATGAGCCATACAACCAGACCATCTTCCTCGCTGTCGGCAGAAGCGACTGTTGTAAAAGCCTAACCTAGATCAAATTGATTAGTGGATTGATCCATATATCCAAATAACATCCAAGCTTTTGATCATTAGGTAAATTTTGAAAAGTTTAAGTCCTAAAATGTCATAATGAAAATTTTTAGGTACCAAAACATAATTTTTCAATGATATTTTCGTATAAAAATATAGGTACCAAAATGTAAAACATAAAAAGTAAAGGTACCAACTCATAATTTATCATTTGGATATGTGGATCAATTCATAAATTCACCAATCAAATTGGATTTGGATCAAATGGACGGGAT